ATAATAATAATAATAATAATAATAATAATAATAATAATAATAATAATAATAATAATAATAATAATAATAATAATAATAATAATAATAATAATAATAATAATAATAATAATAATAATAATAATAATAATAATAATAATAAATAATGAATAATGAATAATAAATAATAATAATAATAACAATGGTGATAATTAATGAGAGCCATATTAATCCTACCAAAGTGAGTAAATCGAAATAGAATGGGAAATCGTGCTTCAGTGTGTGTGTGTGTGTGCTACGTTTGCAACTGCCTTGCAAACGTGATTTCTCCCTCCCTTTTCTTTTTCTCTTCCCCTCCCTCTCTGCCTCTCTCCATCTCACCTTTCATTCCTCTTTCTATATCCAAGAAAAAGCTAACAACCATATGGAATGAATGAAGGGGTGTTCAACGAAACGATGAATGAATGGATAGATAGATGTCCCGAAAAGAAGATGGTCGAGCTGATCTATTAAATCACTGACACTACTTACTCTCTCTCTCTCTTTCCTCCTTTCTCTTCTCTTTCTATCTCTCTCTCTCTCTTAAGTATATTAGATAATAAATATGGATGGATGTGATGGCTAAGTCTCTCTCTCTTTCTCTCTGCCTCTCTCTCCCTCCCTCTGTCTCTCTCCTATCCTTTTCTCATCTAATCGAATATTGTTGTTCTTATACAACTAATACTACACTATTCATACTAATCATCTCATCTCATTGTTTACTATTTATGGATAATTGTTGTTTTATTTATAGAATAATTTAATTTTAATTAACAATTAAAAGAGAAGAAACAAAAGCAAACTTTTAATATATTTTTTTTTATTGCATCATTTCAATAAACAAATAATATCAATAAAATGAAATTAAATGCATCTTTAATATTTGAAAGTATTATTGTTGCAAGTTGAGAAACAAACAAATTAATTGGTAAATTAATATTAATTAATAAGGAATTAATTTGTTCGCTATTCGTTTGAGTAATTAAAAGTATTTTTATTTCGAATTAAGTCAAAATGTGGTGTTATGATATGAAATCATAATAATTTGTTAGCTAATATTTGATGGCTTAATTGAGTTTATGCTAAATTGGTATCACGTAATAGATAATATTATAAGTTAGGATACTGCAGTAACTTATCCATTATCATTTTGGGTACCATACGTTTGATAAGTTATCACATATGATACCATGGTAATAATGGTGAATCAAAATATAATCAGTGCTATATTCTAGTTAATATAAATTATAAAATATCATGCAATTTGATCAACATTACTAGAATATTATGCTACATTCATCTCATGATAAATCGATGCATCCTTCTGATTTGTAAAACGATCAGAGAAGAAAAAGAGAAAGAAGAGGGAAATAGTTTATAATTATCATTACTACTATTAGTAATAATAACGATAATAATAATAATAAGTAAATGATTAAGCAAAGAAGTTAATTAACAACAATAATTATAATAATGAAGAGGTTAAGATAAGGAGAAGTAAAAAATTCGATCAATTTTTAAAAATGAATAAATCTTATAATGATTTTCTCTATTATTAGTTGTTGAATGACTTTTCAAACAGAAAAAAAGATCTGATAAATTATTAACTCATTAATAATGATAATGATGGGATGAATCAGACGAATAAATTTCATTTATGAATAATTTGATTGATGGATAGAAATATGTAAATATTGGATGGATCAACTAATCATACATTCATTTCAGATACAACCTGTATTATATCCGTGATATCTCGTACAAAACCATCCATTCTTATTTTCCTGTCTTTCTCTTTCTCCTTATTTTTCATTTGTTTATAAACATGAGGCTAATTGATTAATTAATTAATCAATCAATCGTACATAACAGTTCGTGTTCCAAGTTTCCTTTTTTTTTCAAGCAAATTGCATATTAAAAAAAAAAAAAATTCCATTTTATCGTGTAATTATTTCAGTGCTTTATTTCCTCCATTTCATTTCACTTTCATTTTTCTTAATCGATCAGATATGAAAATGTATAATACTGTATATAACTGTATTGTAAATTGCAAGCGTCTTTGCATGCATGCAAATCAAGCGTCTTTGCATGCATGCAAATCAATAATTGTATCATAGAGTGCAAGCATTTTTGCATGCGTGTGCAAATAAAATGACGAGTAAAAATGGGAAATGAAATACATATATAGTGATGAAAAAAAATTGTGAGAAACTGTGAAACAATAGTTATTGGTTATTTTTTATAATTTTAAAAAAAAAAAGTAAGAAGGGAAGAAAAAAGATTTATTTCATTGCATAAATTTAAAAAGTTAAATTTCATTATTTATGAAATAAACGTAGAAATTCACGTATAAATTTGCAAATTTCATGCATGTAATTATAGGTAAAATCAATAATTAAAAAGATTGAATAATCTTCCGGAAAAAAAAGAGTAAAATATTGAGCCTAAAATATGAATTGATACAAAAACCAAATAATGCAGTACGGAAGAAAGTTATGCTAAGTAAAAAGATAAGTTAATTTTAACAATAAGTAATAAAACAAATTTGCGAAGACAATTTTCAGTAATGAATTAATGAAGTGAATTCATGAATAAGAAATATTCACCATTTTATATTGCCATATCAATAAATGATAAAGGTGAGGTCACATGGTTTAACTAATTATTCAATTAGCTGTATGCTAAGAAATGAAAATAAAATTGCTTGAAAAAATTCGTAGAAGAGAAAAAATAAAGGAAGAAAAATTAGTCACAAATTAGCTTCGTAATTCTTGCTGTTCGATACCTGTGATAAATGCACGATTTTCGCTATCCACATAAATATACTGTCCCAAAAGACGTGAAATTTCAATACCCTGAAATGAAATTCTGACGTAATTGAATTTCTATCCATAAACAAAACATTAAATTGACATGAAACTTTCAAAGACAACAAAATTAATCGAAAGAGAGGGGGAGATAGAGAGGAAAGAGAGTGAAAGAAGAAAAATGTTAAATGGATCTAGAAAATGGCAACGATTAAACAAATGTAAATTTTGGAATTTAGATAAGTTGATTAACAATGCTTATGGTTAATTCCCACGCAATTGCAAATATAAATGTTAAAATAACAATGCATTAAATATGACAAATCCATAACAAGCTGATAATTTGAATACAAATACCTGTTCAGTACATATGGTTATATTTTTATTCCTATATTGATTACCAATTTTAATATCCAAAAATATTCCTTGTTGTGTGGAGTAACGATTTGTCGATATAATCTGAAAAAATTGCCATTTTCATTTAAAATTATAATAACGATATGATATGGAAAAGAAAGAGAAAGAAAAGTGATAAATTTAAGAGTGATAAATCTAAGTGAAATTTAATTTAAATAAATTACCTCAGTTAATGCAATCTTTAATATTTCTTCACGATCATTGATATTAATCACTTTAATGCCATGTTTATTAATAGCAAGTAAACATTCGCCTGTTTGTTCATTTTCATCAATAACATTATAGACGAAGAAAAATGTCATCCCAAAATAGGGACATTTTTCAAGTATTTCTGTAATCAAATTTTTTCCTTTTCTTCAAAAGAAAAAAAGAAAAATTGTTATAAATTAGAAATAAGTGAAAATACGAATGATAAATGTTAAAATTAATAGATAAAAAATATAAAAATGTTGAAATTAACCCAAAAAATTTGCTCGCGCATTAGTTTGATTGATATTGTGTTGTTGGATTGCATGTAATTTCGCATTGATACGTTCAACCCATTGATCAATCGTTCGGATTGGATAGACTGTTTTTGGAATCAATTCAGCAACATTTTTACTGAAAATGATCATTTATCATTGAGAGTAAGAAAAGGGGACATGAAAAGATTTTGAAAAGTGAAATAATTATTTAACGTAATATGACTATGTCTTTAAGCTTTTTCTTTTTTGATAATTTGTCGTAAAGATCACATTATAAAAAGTCAAATTAGTTTGTCATCACTGAAACACTTGAAAATATGGGTCGAAAAGATTTGTATAAATGATGAGTGGAAATGGAATTATTTAATCGGTTAGGATTACTTGTATATTTTTTGTAATTTCATCCATTAAGAAATAATAGTGTAACTATATTTCATTCAATAATCAGATAATATAGAAAAAATTTGATGAGAGGATTGATTGGATCGATCAAGAGAGTAATGCTATTTTTATTTGTAGTTTTTCATCATAAATGACACATAATAAGATATGTAAAATTATGCAAATGAACAATTAATCAAATAGAATATGTTACTTACACTGTAACACATGCGGGTCGTTCTTCTACATCTGCTAAGTGTAAATATGCGCCCAAACGAGCAATATCATCCTATAACAAATGTATCTCTTTCATTAATATAACTTAGTGAAATTTAAATAAAAATAAATTTGAATAATGATATATAGTATATGTAAATAAATTAATTTAAAAATTTGTTGCTATTAATCAAATTGTTACTAACCAAAATATCGGCGCTAATTTTTCCATCCTTTGGTGCAATAATTAAACCTTCAACATAATCTGGCACAATCTGTCAAATAAAATATGCAATGAAGGAATAAATGAATGAATCAAGAATAAACTGATAAATTGCTATTCGTTTATAGTCTAAGTAGTGAAATGGATTAAAATAGATAATTTCATAAACCTGATATGATATAAAATGATATAAATCTATCTCTTTAAGAGATTGCTTTTTTTTTCTTTCAATATACTGTATACTACACCAAACAGCCGAGTAGAATATTTCGGATATTTTCGTATATGAAAGAATTCTTTTAATTCAGATATTCTGGTATATGAAAGGTTGAAAGTAAAAGTATTATATCATGAAAAAAAAGAAAAAAAAATATAACGAGGAAGTAACGATAATCATTTTAACCAGTTTAAATATATGAAATATAAAATTACAATTTCAGCCTAATTACAATTCATGACCTCTGTGACCTATAAATGTAAATTCATAAGTTAAGCATTAAATGATATGAGCGAGAATGACAAGATAATTTATAACCATAAATAATTTGTTAATGATCAAAATGTATTGTTATCATGACTAGGTTTTTACCGAACATATAAGAATGGTTCTCTCTAACTATGCTAATTAAAAGCATTGATAGCTAAATAGACCGATGAGTCCGACTGTAAGAAGTACGACGGAAAGTCTCCTCGGGCGGTATTGGGGAGACACAATTCTTTCGGCATTGTCTTTTCTCCTCGAAACTGATTGCTGCGTATGTTCGCAAAGGAAGCAGTAATGTTATGGATAGTGTGTTCAGATGTCTTCCCAATTCTAACTTAAGATGCAGTATCAATGGTATACAATATTATCAAAGGTGGATATTATTTCAGGGTATCTTTGTATTTCCTCTTTGAGATTCTTCTTTTGTGGAAACCAGCGAAGAGTTCACCATAAAGCACAATCTTCATTCTTCATCCTTGAAACGATGCTTAATGCAGCAGTTGCATTGGCTTCAATATTGGTGATTACTGCTTTTATCAGCAGCAATTAAATCAGTTATATAATTAGACTAATGAATGTTTAGGATTCTACGAAGACAACACTGATGGGAACGTTCGAGGAGTTACAGATGTTGCCAGTAAATGGATTTAGACCTATAAAAGGGTAAGGTTTTTATAGACACTAATCTTTGTACTTCACTTCAGGTATTTATTGCACTGGACTCTTTTATGAAGTTTTCCGAAAGCTCTGTATACCTTTGCTAATCTGTTGCATATTTCCTTATTAATCTTACCATCCAAGGAAATGATGTCTCCTATAAAATTGAACTGTTGGAGTTCAGATATGCCTATGGTGATGTGAGGATAATGAAATATTCTTAAGGCATGGGTTTGCTAGATGACTTCTAGCACAAAAAGCTTAGCTGCCTCTGCAAAGCAAAATGTTAAAGGCTGTAGAGCTGTATACCTTTGTCTTTTTGCTTTTGTTCGACCATATTAAAAGGTGTCCATTGACCTCAATTAATTAATCGAGTGAAGGAGTAAGATAAGCTTTGGTTAGGCTACCTTTTCTAGACCTTTTTCCGATTTATGGAGCAAGTGCTTGATCACTCAGAATATTGATGTCATTTCCTGGATCAATCTTGAACGAGCAAAATCCTGAATCGTTTGCATGCAGGATTCGGTTGCCACTTCCATTATACCTCTTTTACCTGTCGTTTCATCCCTTGCCTGTTGTTACAGAGGCTTTGCAAATATGAATATATCCTTTTCGAGCCTGCACAGCGGCTTTTATTTAGATAGATTACAATATGTGCAGAACTTGTCTCATCCTTTATTCCTGTAGATCATCTGCTAGGATATTGTGAGCTTAGAGGATGATAGAGAAGTCTCTCAAGATATAGATTTAATTAGAGTATAGTTCTCTGAGAAAGATTACAAGGTTAAATGAGTTTCATCTGTCCAAGTTTAGGGTTAGTGTTGTTATTCGTTTAGAACGGTTGATAATTTATAATTTTGCGATCGATAAACTTCTATATGGGACAAAAAAAAAGAAAAAATTCATCGATAACAAATGATTGTCATTTTTAATCATTCATTCAGTTTATTGCTATCAAATTATGTATGGTTCAATTTGTTAATATTTATTATTAAATATTTATATAATTAATAAATATAATAAATTAAAAACAAAACGAAGTAAAATTTTTATTATTTCGATTAATTCATTTGATATGAATAAATTTATATCATTAAATGATTTGGATTATTAAATAATTCAGAGAGAGAGAGAGAGAAGAAAAAAAAAGGAAAGATAAGTAACCTGGAAAAACATCACATCGATATAGAGAGCATTATCTAGTCGTAATGGATGTATCCATACTGTTCGTTTAAGTATTAAGAAACAATGTTTTTGATTATGCTCAAGTTCAGTACATACATCCATCACATATTCATCGTTAGCTAACATTTTAATCTTATCTTCTGTAATTTGAATTTATTCAAAATTAACTAAAAATTTAATCAGATTTTACTTCACATGTATGTGAAATTAATAAACTTCACTAATTTAATTTGTGGATTACAATTTTTCTTCTTTTTTTCTTAAAATTTATTTCAAAAAATTAGAAAATTTTAAATATTTCGATTAAATTAATGGATGTAATTTTCAATACGATATAAATTTCAGCACAATTTTATTAACACATATATTTCAATGTATGTTTATTAATTAAGTATGCTAAAAATTAACCTGATTCCAAAATATAGCACAAACAAAATTCTTGTTGCTCTGCGACACTTCGTATATTAAGCTCTTGACAAAGTTGCTGAATAATCTCTTCAACAACTGTTACAGAATGAGTATTAATTACCTTTCGATGTCCACCCGGTAAATGGTACAATTGTCGTTTTAATGTTTTACCCAACTATAATAAAACCATATCATAGATAATATTATTACCAATTTTTTGATTCATATTGTCCAAAAATAAATTAATTAGTACTTCGTATGTTAATTGCAAAGAAGGTTCATCAAAAAGATTGTTTAAAAAAAATTTTTTGAACCACTATGTATTACCGTTATTGCTTCAATTTCACTTCCACTAAGTAGAAATTGACGACCGCCATATTTGAATGTTTTTATCAAATTATGTAAACAAATAAATGCAGTACCTAAAAATAAACACATTGAAAACATTGATTAATTACAGACAAAAAAAAGAAATGTGATGGTAATAATGATAGAACTAATGAATAAACATACAATAAGTAATCCAAAAAACATACACACCGTGATAAGGTTTGGTTATACACACCGTTATAAGGTTTGGTTATACACACCGTGATAAGGTTTGGTTATACACACCGTGATAAGGTTTGGTTATACACACCGTGATAAGGTTTGGTTATAC